ACATCTTTGTTGGTATGTGGTGCTGCTGAGAATCGAACCCGGGCCGCACGCATGCTAGGCGAGCGCGCTACCGCTTGAGCCACATCCCCAGCCCCGAGAACGCTATCTTAAAATAAAATTTAAAAAGGACTGGTGATGTAGCTCAGTGGTAAAGCACCCCTGGATTCAAAAACAAAACAAAGAAAGAACAAAACCCTAATGCAAATTCCTGGGCCCCTGTCTGAATCAGAACCATGTGGTAAAATCCAGGAAACTTCATCTGTAAAAGCTCTCTAGGTAATTCTATTGACATTCAAGTCTTAACTACTGAAAGAGGAAGTAGAGGTAGGGGACACCTGGAATTAACAGCCCTACATAACAGGCTTCCCCAGGCTTGTGGCAGGAGGTAATAATTTTTTTTTCCCTACCCACCTCTCTTAAATCAGCAACAGCATTTATTATTATTATTAAGTTGTAATTGGACACAAACCTTTATTTAATTTTATGTGGTGCCGAGGATCAAACCCAGTGCCTCACATGTGCTAGGTAAGTGCTCTAGCACTGAGCCCCAGCCCCCATTCACGTAATAATTCCTTATAGAAGATAATCTGTTCATTGCCTGCTTCCCTGTTCACTTCTCTTTGGCCATTGTGAGGACAAACTTCTATGTTTCATAGTTGGATTGTGAGTAAATCTCACTTCTAACAATGCCTTCTGTCAAGCAGTTTGTCATACTGGTGTGACAATGGGTTTGCTTTTTTTCATTAGTGAAATGAAAATGCCAATCTTTAATACTTTGCAGAATGGGTGCAAAGATCAAATAGGATTATTCATGTAAAACCCCTTTAAATATACCCTGATGCAGAACAATGACAATTGCTGGTGTTAGGCTGACCTAGTCCTGAGACAGATGACTACTCATTTCCTTTCCTACTTGGTACTTTTTCAGTTCCTCTGGAAACATAACAGCTGAGTTTATAGTCTGGCCAGCAGAGGGCAATGGAGGTCAACCTTGCCTGCTAGATCAAGAACACATCAGCAGGTTAGAGAAATGATTGCTAAAGTGTGTTCCCTGGCCTGCAGCATCAGTATCACTTGAGTACTTGTTAGAAATACAAATTATTGAGCCAAACTCCAGAACTATTGAATTGAAAACTCTGAGAGTAGGGCCCAACAATCTGGGTTTCAACAAGCTCTGCTGCGGATCTTTTGCACCCTCACATGTGATGTTAGTGTTTTTTAGTGTATTAAGAATTCTTAAGCCAATCCCTAAAAAACAAATGCCAAATGTCTTATCTGATATAAGGAGAGCAACTAAGAACAGAGCAGGGAGAAAGAGCATGAGAAAAAGATTAACATTAAACAGGGACGAGAGGTGGGAGGGAAAGGGAGAGAGAAGGGATATTGCATGGGAATGGAAGGAGACCCTCATTGTTATACAAAATTACATAGAAGAGGATGTGAGGGGAAAGGGAAAAAAAACAAGGGAGAGAAATGAATTACAGTAGATGGGGTAGAGAGAGAAGATGGGAGGGGAGGGGAGGGGGGATAGTAGAGGGTAGGAAAGGCAGCAGAATACAACAGACACTAGTATGGCAATATGTAAAAATGTGGATGTGTAACCGATGTGATTCTGCAATCTGTATACGGGGTAAAAAATGGGAGTTCATAACCCACTTGAATCAAATGTATGAAATATGATATGTCAAGAGCTTTGTAATGTTTTGAACAACCAATTGAAAAAAAAAAAAAGAATTCTCTCAATCAGTATGGCCTGGGCCTCCCAAAGCAAGGTCAGCAGAACCAATCCTCTGGTATGACTTAAGTCTCGGTTTGTGTTGCACAGAGACTAGATGATGGGATTTGGGGAAAAGCAGCAAGCAAAGCTTACCATTAGAAGTGGGGGTGTGGCTCAGTGGTAGAGTGCTTGCCTGGCATGTGTAAGGCACTGGGTTCCATTCTTAGCACCACATATAAATAAATAATTAAAATAAAGGTCTATTTACCTTTACTAAAAAAATAAACTACTATAATCATCTTGCATGTATAGAGTGGTAGAGCCCACAAAAAAAACTTCACATTTATTACATCATTGTTGTTATTATTTTGGTGGTAGTGGTACTGGAGATTGAACCAGGGCCTTGAGCATGCTAGACAAATGCTCTGCTACTGAGATATATCCCAGCCCTTTTATTTTGAGACATAGTCTTGCTAAATTGCTAAGGCTGGCTTTGAAGCCTCAGCTTCTTGAGTAACTGTGATTATGGGTGTACACCACCATGCATGGTTCCTTAGTTGGTTTTTTTTGTTGTTTGTTTGTTTGTTTGTTTGGTACCAGGGTTTGAACCCAGGGATGCTTAATCACTGAGCACTTTTTGTTTTTTATTTTGCAACACTAAGTTGCTTAGGGTCTTGCTAAGTTGCTGAGGCTGGGTTTGAACTTACAATCCTCCTGCCTCAGACTCCCAAGTTGTCAGGATTACAGGCATGCAATCACTGCACATGGCTTTCATTAGTTGAAGTAATTCTGAGTGGTTGATCTTCTTTTCATTGTACACATGAGCAACATGCACTTGGATGCATTTGATGCTACACAGGAAAGACTGAAGACTAAGAGCCATTTCACAATTCTGGATTCTATATTAGAAGAGGACGAGGTTCTGCCAGATGATACTAAGGAAGCTCTCTGACCCCCAAATCCACTCACAGTGGGAATTGGGGACTTTAGTGTTCCTTCTTTCTCTTTCCATTCTTCTAGGCTGAATGCTATGTTCCTATTTCCCCCCATTTTCTTTCCCTTCATCTCTACATTGAATACTCATTTGGATGGTCTTTTTTTAAATTTTTTTTTAGTTGTTGATGGACTTTCATATTTATTTATTTATATGCAGTGCTGATGATAGAATCCAATGTCCCACACATGCTAAGCAAGTACTTCACCACTGAGCTACAACCCAGGCCCTCATTTAGACCACATTTAAGGGGACAGCATGATCTGCTTCGATCTTGAACATCAGTGGCTGGCTCTATGGGCCAGCCCTATAGCTTGGGCTAACCTCACTAGTTCCTTCTGGAGGCCCCAGAGTTGAAAGTAGTCTTCTATAGCAAATTTGCAGTCACTACCTTTAGTTCTTGTTGTTCCATATATCTTCTTTGGGTCCTACTTCTGGAACAGGGCTGGGGAGTGAGTTAGAAAAGGCCTTCAAAACCCAGGGGTTTGTGGGTTCAAGTGATTCTCCTGCTTCAGCCTCCAAATTGCTTGTGCCTGACTTGTATCTGTTTAAAAATATCAAATACTGTGAGTACATATAACAAGAAAACTTGACCATCCAAAAGGAGGGTGGTGTGTGCTCCACAATTTGAGGTAGGGCCATGCATGGTTTATACAGCCTTGCAGGTAATGTCTCACAGGGTGCAAAGTACAGCTGGCACCAGAATGATCCAATCACAGAAGCAAACTTGGCCTACTCTGTTCTTAAATGACATTATTGATAAGGAGCCCAAGTTTGTCCCCAGGGCTTTCAAGCAATTTCATAGTTAGGGTTGGGGCTGCAATTAACTTAACCTTATGGAAGGAAACAATTTTCTAGGCTGACAAATACATTAACAGGGTTTGCTAGTTTCTTTTGGGTAGAAGAGTTACCCAGTATCTTTGGGAGTAATGATAGCTAAATTATGGAATCATAATTTAGCTATCATTACTGTAAAGTGGTAACCAGTCATGTTACACATATTGTTTAAATTCTTAGGATGAACCCACAATTTAGCTATTATCCCCTCTCCCTTTAATACTTTTTTTTGGTGGGTCGGGGTACTCGGGATTGAACCTGGGGCACTCTACTACTGAGCTACATCCCCCTTTTTTGTATTTTATTTAGAGACAGAGTCTCACTGAGTTGCTTAGTGCCTTGCTAAATTGCTGAGGCTGAGGGCTGAGGTTGTGGCTCTGTGGTTAGAGTGCTTGCCTAGTGAGGCACTGGGTTCAGTCCCCAGCACCACATAAAAAAATTTAAAATAAAGGTACTGTGTTCATCTACAACTAAATGTATTTTTTTTCATTTTTTTTAACAGAGAGAGGGAGAGAGATAATTTTTTTTAATATTTATTTTTCAGTTTTCCGCGGACACAACATCTTTGTTGGTATGTGGTGCTGAGGATCGAACCTGGGCCACACGCATGCCGGGCGAGCGCACTACCGTTGAGCCACATCCCCAGCCCCAACTAAATGTATTTTTTAAAAATAAATAAATTCCTGAGGCTGGCTTTGAACTCACAATCTTCATGCTTCAGCCTCCCAAGTGGTGCGTTTACAGGCCTGCACCACTGTGCCTGGCTCTTTTAATACATTTTTAAGAGATAATGGTAAAAATTATTTAAAACATCCTAAGGGCACTATAAGGAACAGAAAATCACCTTGTCCTGTTTCCTCTTCACAGAGGTGACCCTGGTTGTTTTTCCTGTATCTATCTTTCTCTGTTGGTACTAGATATTGAATCCAGGGGTGCTTAACCATCGAAACACATCCCCAGCCCTTTTTTATATTTTATTTAAAGAGAACGTTTCTCTGAGTTGCTTAGGGCCTTGCTAAATTGCTGAGGCTGGCTTTGGACTCAATCCTCCTGCTTCAGCCTCCCAAGCTGCTGGGATTACAGGCATGCACCACCTAACCCAGCTTTCCTGTGTCTTTCTAAAGGTGTTCTGTACATACATAAGCATATGTGTGAAAACGATTCTTTTTTCTATATGATAGTATACCATGTGCAAGGTTGTACACATTTGCCCTCATAAGTAGAGATTAACTCATTCATACATATAGCTTTACCTCATTTTTCAAAAGTTGTCAGCAGGAGGGCATTCTACTGTGTGGCTGAATTGTTTATTTATCCGAATGTCTATTAATGCACATCAGGCCATTCTATTTCCTTTCAACATATTTAAATATATTTCCACTCTGTGTAACTTGGAATAATATTTTGGATATATTTGGGCTAAATAAGTTATTCAAATTGTTACTTGTTTTATGTAGAATTTAACATTGCACATGTAACTTGCATTACCTTTCTGTGAAATAGTACTGCTTGTCCTTGTCACTGTCTGGTGGTGGCCTATATCCCTACTGAACTGAGAGCTCTCTGAAGGAAGGAACTTAATCTGTCAGGCCTCTCAGAGGTACAGAAGTGCTCTGGAGACGGGAGCTGCACCTGACAATGGAGTAGGTGCTTAATAAATTTTTATTGATTGAATGGGCAATGAATGACCCTCTGCCCACTCCCAGGAAGAAATACATGCTTCCCAGCTCCAACTCGGATGGAGCATCTTCAGCAGGCTGAGGTAGGATGGGCTTCTTGACCACAGTCATGAATTCCAGTCAGTTTCCTCAGTAACCCAGATAGAGGAGTGGAAATATTGAAAGAAAGAAAGAAAAGGAAAGGAAGAAAGAAAGAAAAAAGAAAGAAAGAAAGAGAAAGAAAGAAAGAGCGGGGCATGGTGGCGCACACCTGTAATCCCAGCAGCTCAGGAGGCTGAGACAGGAGGATTCCGAGTTCAAAGCCAGCCTCAGCAACCGCGGGGCCCTAAGCAACTAGGTGAGACCCCGTCTCTAAGTAAAATACAAAAGAGGGCTGAGGATGTGGGTCAGTGGTTGGGTGCCCCTGAGTTCAATCCCCAGTACCAAGAAAAAAAAAAATCGAATGTTTGATTTTGTGGGCACGTAGTCTAATTTTGGACAAAATTTCCCAGGCGTGAATACTCGACACCTTCCAAGGGTAATTTAGTTACCAATGAATGAATGGAGAATAAAGCCTGGGCAAGTCCTCTAGGTCGTGGGCCTGAGGCTCTCATCGGTGGAGAGTTCTGCAGCCGCCAAGGCTGGGGAGAGACCACAGACCCAAGGCCTCCCGCACTCGGGCGTCTGGGCCCTCCGCGTGGGCGGGAGGGTAGGCGTGACCGCCTCTTTACCGCAGGGGCCGCGCCAGTTACCTGCGACGGGATTCCCTACGAGGGATGGGTACGACGTGTGTAGCAGCACCCAGGAGCTCCTCAGGGTTCACTAGGAGACCTAGGGGGAGCGTCTGAGAATCTACCTTGCGGATGCTGGGAGAGATGTCGGTCAATAAAACGGTCAGCCCCGCAACCCCTCGCCCAGCAGACTGAAAGAGGTGAGGGTCGTGAGTGCGCGTGCGCTCTGGCGCGCTCCCGCAGCGCGAGCGCGCGTACGCGCTCGGAGGGGTTAAAAAACAACAAAAATCGTCCCGCGTTAATTTAGGCCGGAGTCGGCCGGTGAGCGCGCGTGCGCGAATCGTCGCTCTCGCCCACCGACCCTCTCCGAGGGGGGTCTAGCGGATGGCTTGGCTTCCTTGGCGCTTCTGGAAGCTCGCGCCCTCGGGGTAAGTGACTCACGCCTTGCGGAAAGGAGGGTAGAGGGTTAGCCGAGTGAAGGGAGGAGGCTGACGGCTCTGGGGGAAAGGAGAAACAGCTCTGGCAGGGCGACGAGCGCGTCTCTTGGGCTGGCGTCGGCACGAAACGCCACACACACACTCACGCCCCTCGGGGCTGCGGAAGTTCTCCGGAGACCGGAGCCACACGGAGGCTATCAGTGGACTACGTTTCCCAAAAGGTGGCGCGGTGGCGCGCCTACTGCTCCCGGCAGCCCCCGCGCGCCGAGCCAGCTCTTTTTCAGCTCGCTGCCTCTTAGTGAGAAACTACAGTTCCCAGGAGGCCTTGCGCGAGGCGGCTTGGAAGTGGGCAGCCTGGAAGTCACTCGGGCCACTGGAGCTGGCGGCGTCTCCAGCGAGCGGCGCGGAGCCGGACGCCGCGGTCGAGGGCCCCGCAGGGCGGGCAGCCGGGACACCCAGGTGTGTGGCTTCAGGTGCAGGAGCGGCCTTGCGCAAGGCTGGTGGGGAATTGAAGAATGCTTGGACTCCGGGGGGTCAGTGCGGGCGGGCGACAGGGCGACCTGCTGGGTATGGGCACCGGCTGGGGTGGGGGGGCGGTTCCGGGATTCACGCCCTCCCGACCCGGGGGGACTCGGGCCGGCATGGCTCAACTTTCCAGACGTGCAACCAACCCGGCGCTGTGGTGGAGAAGCTTGGAGTCGGGGAGCTGTGGGTGCACGTCCCGGCTCCGCCACTCGGGAGCTGTGGTCCGAGGAAAACGCGCCGAACCTCAATTTTCCCTTCGATAAAACGGGGAAGGAGATTGTCTTTTGCTGGGGATTCTGATGGGATGCTGAGATCCTGCGAATAAAGCATTTGCTTCACAGAATGTACTTATTATGTGTTTGCGTTGTTGGCTTCTAGAGAGATGAGGCGAAGATGGTATTGATTGCATAGGGTGACGGTTAGTTGAGCGTGTTCCTGTGAGGAGCCTAGTCCATAGTTAGCACTCAATGCAGGTAGTTGCGGTTATTAGATTATTTTGTGAAGCACTTTGGTTTGTGAAGCAGAGAGACTCAGATTCAGATTTAGCTGAGTGACCTTGGACAACTGACTTCACTTCTCAGTGCCTCGGTTTCTCTGTCCATAAAATGGAGAGTTAAATAGCATCCACTTCATAAAGTTGCTTTGAAAATGTATTGAACATACCACGTTTGAAATGCTGAGCGCTGCAGCTGGTATATAGTTCTGAGCGGATGGTATCATTTATTCAACATTTTCCTAGTGGCCCATAGACCCTCTGAGAGTGGGGCTCTGGCTGTAGTCTTGGTTTTCCCAGCGGGCCAGACTTAACACTGGTCCAGTTGATTTCCCCTTCCGTGATCTCAGGTTCTGCGTTTATAAAAATGGACAATAACCGAATCACCCTCAGAATGTTGTAAGGATTTGCGGAGATTGTATTCCCAGTCTGAGCCATCCCTCACTAAATAGCAGCCCTTATGTATTATAATTGTTCTACTTCAATATTCTCCATCTGGCCCAGAGATGCCTAACTGTGGGCTGTGACATGACAGCCCTGAGCTCCCGCTTTCTTTTTCTCCCAGCCTCAATGTCCCATCTGTGAAATGGTAGTCATAGGACTTTTGTGCCAGGATTGTTCTGTTTTCCAGAAGATAATTCATCTTTGGTGTTTAGCACAGGGCCCAGCACATATTAAGTGCTTAATAAATGTATCGTTTTTCTTTTTTCCATAGTAGGCCCTTTCCTCTTCTGTTTGAACCTAGAGAGCAGAGTGGAAATGAGGTCAGTGTTTCTTTCCCCTTCCCCCAAAGAATACTCACCAAGAACTAAATAATGGAACATTCTGTAGCATAAAGGCCCAAGAAGAGATCATGTTGTTATGCCATCATCAGTCCCCTGCATATAGTCTTACCCTCCAAGTCAGTATTTTCTCTCCAGTGCCTTGTTATTTTTTGGTGTTGGGATGGAACCCAGGACTTTGTACATGCTAAACCTGCTATTGCTGAGCTATGCCTTCAGCCCCAGTGCTGATTGTCCCAGAGTGGCCAGCTCTTGACTGTGTCTCAAAGCCACCCTAATCCCTTGAACTCCAGCTGTGGAACCTGTGCTTCCTTGATGTCCATGATGACTGTACTTGAGCACCGTGAACTCAACATGACCAACCTGAATTCCTCTTCTTCTCAGATCCAGTAGTCAGTATCTCAGCAAATGAGCCAACCTTGACCCACTTGCCCAAGCCAAAAACTCTGGAGTTGTTCTCCTTCCACAGCCTTCCCACATCCAATTGATTGGCAAGAAGTATGGAGTTGCCATGTCACAGAAACACCATTTCATTGGCTTCCTCCTTGGTCTCCCATATGATGGGAAAAGGCCTGGAGGTGGCCTTTTCTGATAGGGTTGAGTTATTTAAGTCACCAAAGATTAACGTAGGTAAACACAGAAATTCATAAGGGTCAGAAAACTCAATATGGACTTAGCTAAACTGCAGTGGCTCAGTGGCTGCTAATGTAGCAGGAAGGCCTGGCTTTCAGGGATCCCATTTCTTGACTTTTAGCCTGGCAAAATCAGCTGAGTTGTTATTTTCTTTCTGAAAATTTATACTCTTGTCAGTCAGATCAGAATTCCAGAAACTTGTCATTGTGATTTTTTTTTTTTTTTTTTTGTACTGGGGATTGAACTCAGGGGCATTTGACCACTGAGCCACATTCCCAGCCCTATTTTGTATTTTATTTAGCACCTCGCTTTTGCTGAGGCTGGCTTTGAACTCATAATCCTCCTGCCTGAGCCTCCCAAGCCACTGGGATTACAGGTGTGTGCCACTGTGCCTGGCTATGATTTCTTTTGGTGATGGAAATGTGTGGTCTCAATCAAATTTGTGATAACTATCAAATTTATCTAAGTTTTTTTTTTTGTGTGTGTGTGTGTGGAAAGAAGGCGATGACTTTAAAAAATTTTTTGCTTGGTCTCCACTGTTAGTGACAACAGCATGTGGGTTTTTTTTTAGCAGTCTGTGTAGAATGGTTAAAGAATTAAATGTGAGTATGTTTTTCAGACATTGCAATTGTTAGGTGGTAATCAAAAATGGACTTTAGAATATGCAGTGATTGGTGCTTTTTTATACAGATGTATTTCAAACTTAGGTTTACTATTTTGTGAAATCTAAATTAAATGTACATATGTTTAAATGAAAGAATTCATGGGCTGGGGTTGTGGCTCAGTGGTAGAATGCTCACCAAGCATGCACGAGGCACTGGGTTCAATCCTAAGCACCACATAAATGTAAAATAAAGATATTGTGTCCACCTAAAACTTAAGAATAAATATTAAAAAGAGGAATTCAATGGTTATTTCCTTTAAAGGATTTGTTTTTAGCTGTTAGAATAAGAGGATTGGACCATTTTGTGCATTGATATTTTCTTTAACACTGATGTGACTCCCGTTTTCTAGGATTGCTCTTTCTGGTCATGGCCTTAATTCAAGTATGTATATGAGATTGGTTGAATTTGCCTTTTTGGGGGGTGGGTACGTACCAGGAGTTGAACTCAGGGGCACTCGAGCACTAAACCACATCCCCAGCTCTATTTATTTTTTGTATTTTATTTAGAGACAGGGTCTCACTGTGTTGTTTAGCACCTGACTTTTGCTGAGGCTCGCTTTGAATTTGCGACCCTCCTACCTCAGCCTCCTGGGATTACAGGCATGCATTATTGCTCCTGGCTTGAATTTGGCTTTTAAAAAGCTCTGCAAGAGGACTGGGGTTGTAGCTCAGTGGTAGAACACTTGCCTAGCATGTGTGAAGCACTGGGTTTAATCCTCATTAAAAAAAAATAAATAAAAATAGAGGTATTGTGTCCATCTACAACTAAAAAAAATTTTTAAAAAAAGCTATACAAGGGGCAGGGGATGTGGCTCAAGCGGTATTGCGTTTACCTGTCATGCGCAGGGCGCTGGGTTCGATCTTCAGCACCACATAAAATAAAATAAAGATGTTGTGTCCACCGAAAACTGAAAAATAAATATTAAAAAAAGCTTTACAAGAAATACATGCAATTTATGACAAGTCAAATGATAAGAGATAGAAAAATAATAAGTGCACCCTTCATTCCAAAATTCCCATCCATTCATTCAGATTGAGTATTAATTGTCTATTGTCAGGTTTTAGAGATTCAGAATAAAAAAAATGGTTATGCACTCAAACTACCTGTATTTGTAACTTGAGTTTTTAAATTAATGATTGAGCCTATCCTTTCCAGTTGTTACTTATAGGCTCCTCCCGAGTCTCTCAATATTGAGGATTGAACCCAAGGGTACTTTATCACTGAGCTATATCCTTGGTCCCTTTTTATTTTGTTTTGACACAAGGTTTTCCTTGTTGTTGCCTAAGCTGTTCTTGAAATTGTTATCCTCCTACCTCAGCTTCCTAAGTAGCTGGGATTACAGATGTGGGCTTGACTTATTTGCTTAGAGGCTATACCTATATTTTTAAAAATTTAAAGATTTCTTTTTAAGTTGTAGATGGACACAATACCTTTATTTTATTTTATTTTTATGAGGTGTTGAGGATCGAACCGAGGGCCTTATACATGTTAGGTGAGTGCTCTGCCACTGATCCACACCCAGCCTTGTGCCTATATTCTTCAGTATGGAAAGAACCATGTCTTACTGCACCATTCCCCTATTGGTAGACATTGAGGTTGTTCCTGAGATCTCTTATACCTTACCAAACATAAACCCAGTAAGGCTTAAATGGCTTTAAACACAAGCTGTGTGGCATAGTGCTAAAATGCAAACTCTGGGGCTATATAGCCTCCATTTATTCTGACTTTGCCCCTGTGCTAGTTGTAATACCTTGGGCAAGTCATTAGTCCTCTTGGGTCTTAGTCTCTTGATCTGAAAAATGAGCATGATACTGGTACTTTCCCAATGGGGCAGTTGTTGAGAGGGGGTTCAGTGAAATAATCTGTGCTTTTAGGGTAGAGCCTGAAACCATTATTACACATGATCTTTCAGTTCCTAAGTAACTCAAAGCCCTCTGGGGCAGGGCTTGCAGGAAGAGCCAGTTATTAGAAATGTAAGGTAGAAGTAAAAAAAAAAAAAAAAAAAAAAAAAAGGCAGGAACCTATCTACTTTGAAAATGTTGGGCATCTAGGATAAGAGATCTAGCTGCTCTGGTATGAAGAGAGAAGTGGTCTGAAAAGGAAGGTAGGAGGCAGCAGGGTGGTCT